GAGAGAATCGTAGTCTTGGTCCAGCGAGCATTCGGTCGAAGACATCCTTCCGCGGGGGCTCGGCAAATCCCGATAAAGTGCTTGGGAATTCTCGCAGGAAGTGCACTTTTCGAGCAACTTCTCGCTTGACGTGCTCGCCGATCCCGTAGACGATCGCGCCAGCCGGTCATATTTCATATATCTATCGCTATATTGGGGTCAGAGGGGACGCGTGAAAAAAAGCCATCGACTTTTAATGCACGTATCGTGTCGATCCTTTTTTTTTGTCGCAGCTTCTGAATTTCCTGCATATCGATTTGCCGAAGAAAGGCATTTCCCCAACATAAAACTGCCTTTTTTTCCCTTCGCCTTAATCAAATACAAAAAATTGTATACAATGAGGAGCATCCAGCCACAACGCTTGATGTGTTTAGCTTAAAGCATATATTTCAAATAAAATTAAGTAAACGTTTCGGTCTAACATGTGACCATCTTCAGTACATTAAATTTTTATAATGTGTATAGTTATTATGTATAAGAAAAAGAAATTTTTTTTTCTCTTCTATCTTGATCAAATGGATGTTTCGATTTTAATTATAATATGAAAATTTAATGTACTGAAGATGGTCACATGTTAGACCGAAACGTTTACTTAATTTTATTTGGAATATATGCTTTAAGCTAAACACATCAAGCGTTGTGGCTGGATGCTCCTTATTGTTTACAATTTTTTAAACTTAAGCCACTTATTATTTTAGATACAAAAAAGTCCTCGTAGTGTTATTATCATAGAAACAAGCGATTTAATTATCACGTTCGCTCTCATATTTTGAATACCGTAATAAGTCTGTATATGACTGTAGTTCACATCTAGAATATGCGAACACGGCAGCAAACAAATATTACTCCTTGTACCGCTACTGCTCGTTAGGGCACAATTAACATTTCAACCCACGCAGTATAAATTTACTTGTACAAAATCATTGAAACGTGCACTAGACTCGCGTTTAACCCTCTCCTCATTGGAACATTCGGCGAAAGCGGAAACCGAACGTGCGGTTATTGATTTCGTTTTGCCAATGCAATCCCGCTGCCGCGGAAGTGCAATAATTTCCACAGACATTTCAACGGAATTTACGAGTACTTCGGGAGAAAAAAATACAAAGCCTCCGATGGCTCTTCATTTGATTGGAAAGCCTCATGTTTTGGAAACGGACACGCGTTCCCGTTCATGCTTGTTCCGTCGATATTTACTAAATTCTGTTGCCTCATTTCGCACCAGTAGCGATTAATTATCGGGCATCACTATGGACCGACAATCGAAACAATTTATTCAATTATTGTCGGAAGAATATCACGAATCATTTAATCTGCGTCTAAATCTTATATTCATTGTCGAGCTTCCGTAGAGACTAATATAAAATTGCGAACCAACATTTTGCTCCTTAATTCGTACGAGAGGTGTCGACGTTTCGTATATGCTCGCCTTCTCAATTATTATAATTCAAGTCTCATGTAACACGCGCACGTGTGGTAAGCAATATATCGTTCTTATTACCCCGACGATCTTTCGTAGTGGCGCGTGTATATACCGTATCCGCTTCTTCGTGGTATAAACATTTGCACCCCCTATATGCCGCTCACGAAAGATACAGAATGTCCCAAGAGGGACATGCCATACCTTGGCAGTGTATTATTCCAGCGATTTTCAGCGGGAAAAGGTCGCATAAAGGTCCATTTCGAAATACCGACTAGACTATGAACGAGGAAGAGACTATGAACCCTCCGATTAAAAATTTGTATATTGTTTCTGTAGTATTAAATGTAGAATAATCTATTAATAATGCAAAATAGCTAAATTAGAAGAATATTGTTAACAATTTTTTTTGCATTTGATCTCTTTAGAATATTTTCTTTAAACAAAAAAAAGCTAGAAAATGTGATGAATTAAAATCGATGCTACTTCGAGAATTAATGCATCAATTATAAATTTAGAATAAACTATCATTAATAATATGTAATAAAACATTTTCCTTTTAAATTAAAAGAAGCTAGAAAAAGTGAGAAATTAAAATCACTGTTACCTTGTGAATTAATACGCTAATTAACTTTTATAGAACAGGAAAGCCACTATAGTAACATCGAAATAAGTCATATATTAAGGCAGGAATGCAATAATATAACAAATCTTATAATTATTATTATAGCAAATCTTGCTCAAAGAAAAGCTGTAAGATTTTTTAAATAAGCTCCTATTTTTAAAGTTAAATGATTATCCATTAATTGCTAGTAATATATATGTATATCCTATATATTGCCATCCCATATAATGTAAAGCGATTTACAACATTCAAATATATCATTATTAAAACAAAATACCATATTTGAAATTATTGAAAATTGATTATTTTCTCCTGGAACATCCAGTATATATAAAAACAATTGAAGTACATAAAAAAAATTGACTGAATATATAACTATATAGCAAGGAGAGGGGTTAATGCAGCGGCAAATTATAAATCGTCTTAACGAGTTTTTGATTACCCGCGCCTTTTGCATACGGCACGTAAAAGTGTCACCACCGATCGAAATGGCACGAGTATTTCGCTTATCTGTCTTATCCACGGCGCATGTTACATTGTCCCGTATGAAATTGCACGATAGTCAAATAATTTCTGGCACGCTACGCAAACACGACATTTTAGCAGATACAACATATCAAACGTGCCTTTTTTTCTTTCTTTATATATGTGGACAGTATAGTGCGTGTAAGCAATCAAGTTACAGACAATAATTTTTGTGCGCAGTTGAACTGTCGGCAAATATGATGTAGGCAAATGATGCTGTTGGCAATTAATTTGTAGTGGTCCACTTTCCCAGAATATGCAATCTTTATTTAAATCCAGAGGTTTCTACTCAGAACTTTATAAAGGAATATGGCGATGATTCAATAACTGAGATAGGTACAAATTACTAATGCAGTAGTATCAATTCCTTTAATATAATTACTGTTTGTCGATGTATATAATAATATATATAAAAGTGATCATCATACATACAAAAATAATCATTCGCATGTACATTCAATCTTAAAATTAGCTAGTATTCTGAAGACGCAGCCGGGTAAATTAGCAACTAAGTGATACTTTATTATGATTGTTCTATACTTTTAGAGTATGTTTCATTTTTATGTTCACATGCTGTTAAACATCATTTCATCCCTGTTGCCCCATTGTCATCAAATATTAAACAAACACAAATAATGCTCACAACACTGTAAGCGGTAGTACAAAACATACTTTTCAGGTAGTGGCTCGCACTCATGATACGACAGTTAAGTCCCATCGCGCGCTCTCAATCCCGATTTCCACTCCCGCCAGTGAGGGAAAACTTTTGATTGCGCTTGTTCATGAACGCAAGCGGAAAAAATGAATACAGATAAACGCAGCCTTAAGGACTACATAGATACGTAGTATAGATATAAATTTACACAGAATTACACAAGCACTTAAGATCCAGCTAGACTGTTAAAAGCATTTACATATATTCATTATCGAAAGGAATAACAGCGAATTAGTTTAATTTCGTCACTTGAACATTTTTTTGCAGTATAGATAGTGATACATTATTTAATATGTTGAAACAGTATGTAGTTTTAACCCTTAATACTAAGAATGCACCGAGTCGTAGAATTAGGATAGAATAAGTATTTATATGGTATGCGTTATATATTGTAAAAGCGTATAATAGGATAATGTAATTTCAGATTTGTAAGACATGCGGTTTAAGTTAAATTTAAAAGTAAATTTAAATTTAATTATAATCTTAATTGTGTGTGTGTGTGTGTGTGTGTGTGTAATTGTGATTCAAGGATTAATGTTAATTAATGTTCATTAAACAGTAAACATCGTTTATTTCTTTTATAACATTTACTTATTATATTTTGAGGTCTAGCAGCGCCAAATTTTTTTAAGCATCACAAAATAAGAAAATTTTATTAAAATTAAAAAAAAATTTTTATTTTAATAAAATTTTAGAGTACGTTTAATTTTACGTTCATACTGTTAAGCATCATTTCATCCTTGTTGCCCATCAAATACTAAACAAGTACAAATAATGTTTACAGCGCTGTAAGCGCCAATACGGAACGTTAAGGTAGTACTCACGATATGATCCAAAAATTAAGTTCCCTCGCGCGCTCGATAACGATACTCTCACTCCAGACTTCCATTATCACTAGTGAGAGAAAATTTTGATTGCGTTAGTTCATGGACGCAAGCAGAAAAAATGAGTACAGATAAAACGCAGTCTAACACAGCTCATTGTTTATATTATCTCCCTTCGATTTACATAACGGATTGACAAATTTTTACGAAAATTGAATTCTTTTCACGACTCTTTTTCAAACTAAACGGTAAAAAATTGTATGACTTTTTTTCTCAATATTTTATGTTCCTCTATCGCATGTTCATTTTTTATTAACATTTTACTGCCACTTTATGCCCTACAAAAACAAACGCGATATTTTCTTGAGCTTTGTATAAGCACCTTGTATAAAAAGTGCAGGTTTTAATTACACACATCACAGTACTCTCATTATAATTGCAATCTCATTATAATTGCACAAGTATGTCAACATCCTCTAGTACAATGCATAATTCCAATTTTAAGAAATTTTATAGGTATTCAATTCGCGATTGTACTACATTAAATCCAGCAAGGACATAAAGGCAAGAATCAATCATCTCAAAATTATTTAAAGAATTAAACAATGAAAGCTTCCTGGACTGTTTCGCTTTCTGAATGCGTTGTCAACTTTGCATAGTGCTCCTGTGTTTGACAGTGTTCAATTGTATCTCATAGAAAAATTATGACTACTGGAAAAAAAAATCCATTTATACATAAATGTTACATCTCATAAAAAAATTACGTTTTTATTCTCAATTTCTTTTATCAACGAATCGTCATTATTATTAATAGTTATAATACCTTTGGATCTATCCCAATGTCTCAATTGTGCTTTATATTTTACTAATTTCATCCTTATGTGACCCTAAAAAATAAATAATTTTTTATTAATTGTGTAGTTGTATATTACAATACTAAAATACGATTACCAATATTGAGTTGGAGAAAAGTTCTGAGAAATTTTGTTAGATCAAAATTATGTACGGAATATATTTGTTGCAAAATTTTCGACTATCTGACATGAAAGCTTAAAGTTTTTCTTAAATGTTCGTTTTTGAAAAATGTTCCTTTGACATTTTGTTACCAAATCACACGCGGATTAAATAAAAGGGCATTCTGATTTTGATTGCTCATAACTCATCGTTAAAAATCATCGTATCCATATGACCATTGCACAATGGAAAA